TTTTATGTTATATACATTTTAATTACTTTGTTTCAAAGGAAACCTTTCAAGAAAATACTCAAACTGCAGTTTTTGTGTCATATGATCCACGTGCTTTGCAAAATCTTGACTTTAACACCATTCCTCTCTGAGACACACATGCTGGCACATACAGGCAGTTTATCACACTAAGTATGTATGTTTAACCTAATTGCCATGTACGAGCTAAAGTCTGCAAGCTGGGATGTTTGGGAAACAGATATAAATTTTCAACCTTGATAATTGCCAGACCTACCTTCTATACTTTGCCTTAAGATCTACAATGTACATGTAGTTAGTTGACACATGTGTTTATAGTCATTAGAAAGAAGTGGTTAGGGCATTTGACTAGCAATCTGAGGATCATGGGTTCAATTTCCTGTCCCACCAAACTTGCTTGGCCTTTCAACTGTGGGGGTGTTACAATGTTATGGTCAATCCCACTATTTGTTGGTAAAAGAGTAGCCCAAAAGTTGGAAGTGGGTGGTGATGACTAGCTGTCTTCCCTCTAGTGTTTCACTGCTGAATTAGAGATGGCTAGTGCAGATAGCCCTTGTGTAGCTTTGCATGAAATTCAAAAACAAAACAAACAAACAAACGAATTGTTTCTTACCTAAATATGCTATAGCTAGAGAGACAGATAAACTGTATTTAGGGCTTACTTTTGTATATTAGTTAATTATGTATTATGTTTGTTTTAAAAATCATAATTGAACTGTTTAATGATTTTTCTAAGTTTAACTTGTTGCCTGGATTTTGAAAGGTTATAAACAAGATGGTGTGTGTAAGAGCCATCTTGTTTTGACAACGCATCTATGTAAGAAGTCTGCTGAAATAACTTTGAAAAGCCTTGTGAGCATCAGTTTGTGTATGGGCATAAATAATAATAGAAGATGAATTTGAAAGGAAAATTAAAAATAAACTATAAGTGAAAAGATAAAACTTGAAGTTACACACAGGAAAAATAAGACTATTTTAGTGGATTTTTACAAAGAGGTGAAAAGTATGTACATATTTCCACTTGTTAATTTTAAACATTTCATTGCACTGTAAGTTGATGATAATATGTATATTTAGTGATATAGTAGAGAAAATTTAAAATAAAATATAAATATTTACCTTAAAAAACTTTTGATATTTATTTATGTAGTCCTAGAGATTATACAAATGAAATATGAAAACTGTAAGGTAAAAAATAGTATTTTTATACTTCATATAAAAATCACCTTGCAGATGAACTATTCAAAGTGTGAGTGCAAATAACTACACCAAATATAAAATTTTATATTAGAAATAGTAAAATAAATCAAAATTAAATGTTTTATTTTTCTAAAACTACAAAGTTTTAGGAACATTCATATCAAATTTTAAACAATTTCCTCTGCTAGTTTTATTTTTGGAACGAAATATGACAAGAGTGACATTATATGCTATGAATCGTAGCACGTGGTTGCCATAGGGTTAACTTGTCATGCAAGAACTCTCATGTTTACAGAATAGAATGTATTATAACATATTAGTATTACAGATTGATGGCCCTAGTATAGTGTCACACTTCTCGGATGTGTACATTTTCTAAATGACTGGATCATCACATGGGTATGGTGGTTCTTTAATGTATATATACATACACACACACACTCACACACATGTTGTCACACTTCTTCGTGTATGTCCTGTTTAGCATAAATTCATATGTATAACTTATTTGATTATTTATTTGAAAATGAATTTGATTAGTCACAGTTAAGGGGAAATTTTATTCTCAAGAGTCAAAAATCCACTATATTCTGGCCATTAGAAAAACATGATTTTCAAAATGTAGTGTTAATTGCAACAATGTTTCATAGTGGAGAGGGTTTAACATTACATATTTCATGATCTAAACATTTTTAGGTGGAATTTCTGACATAGTTATTGGAATGCCTCATAGGGGACGCTTGAATTTATTGACAGGTCTTCTCAACTTTCCTGCTGTTGCTATGTTTCAGAAGGTAACAGTAAAACTCTTTTTGCATAATGCATTTGCCTCTGAATTTCTGAACTGTGTTTTTATTTACTGAATGTAGCAGAAAAAATATTCATAATCTGTCACTGACTGTTTGGAAAAAAATACATAACATTATTCAGAAGCATGTTGACTGTTTTTTATTATCATAAACATTCCTGGTTGATGTCAAGTTATGAATGTATTTTCTTTTCTTTTTTTCAATGTAACTTGGTAACATGTTAACATGTAGTTACTCTGAAAAGTAGCTTATAAATCAGTAATAGCTTTTACAAACCAGCTATTCTAGCTGTGATATTACAGGTATATTTCTCAAAATTCATTGCTTTATTAACTGAATTTAATAATTAACATATTTTAATAACAATATAACCATAAATATATTTACAGTCCTTAATCATGAATGGATAACTTGTACAAAAAAAAGACTGTGTAAGTAACAACGTTAACATGAACAAAAGTTAGTTCTTCTTCAAACTTTATTTTTCTCTTTATTTCTATTAACAAAATGCTACTGAAACAAATGTAGATTCTGTTTTCATTTATGGATCAACACAAAAACTACATTTTGCTAAGTTTATCTCACAGCTGCAATTGGTAAGAACTTATTTTATTTCCATTCAATTATTTTGAATATTATTTAAATATTTCTTTTATAGTTTTTATTAACTTTTTAAAATATATTAAATTTTGTAGTGATAAGTACTTTGGTGTAAAAACAGAATTAACAGTTAGAACATCTTACTTAAAAAAATAATTCAAAAGTTTCAAAATTGAGTCCATAATGATTTTGAATGTTTATTAGTAAAACCATATACACTGAAATTAAGGATCTTAATACAACAATATAGTATTAATGATATCTGGACATCTTATTCATTCCACGCCACTTATATCTATGATATCTTACTACTTAAAAAATGGCACGACTATTGACAACATACATAATTCAGGTTGTTGGTGAAATTCTGAATATAACTGTTAACCTTAACAACAGAGTATCATGTTTCATTTCACCTGCTGTGTAACTCAGATAAATTCTCATTTTAATAAAATTAATTAAATCTTGCAATAAATTCAAGAATTTGCAGGACAATAGACCTGTTCATGTTATATTACAGGAAAATGCTGATTGCTTAGTTCAGTATTCAAAGTTTTCTTTATTCAATAGTTGTGGTCCTACAGTATATCTTTTTTTTTTCAGTTTGCTTAGTATATTATTGTTATAATATGAAAAACTTGCTAAAAAATGCAGACTTGTTTATGTCTTGTCTACATAAAGCTAATACAATCACATATAGTAACTTTGGCTAATATAGTCATGCATAGTTAACTTAGATGATCTAATCATATATAGCAGCCTTAGCTAATATTTTTATGAATAGCAACCTTAGTTAGTATAACCAGGTATAGTAAACTTATCAAGTATAATACAAGCATAATGAGCGTAATCAGACATTGTAACCTTGATGAATACAATTAAGTTTACTAACCTTAACAAATATAATCATGTTTAGCAACCTTAGTTAACATAATCAGGTACAGCAACCTTAGCTAATCTAATCATGTTTATTAGTAACCTTAGCTAATGTAATCATGTTTAGCTAATATAATCATGTAGAGAAACCTCAGCTTATATAATCAGATATATTAACCTTAGCTAATGTAATCATGTTTAGTAACCTTAACTAATATAATCAGGTATAGTAACCTTAGCTTATATAATCAGATATATTAACCTTAGCTAATGTAATCATGTTTAGTAACCTTAACTAATATAATCAGGTATAGTAACCTTAGTTTATATAATCAGATATATTAAGCTTAGCTAATATCCTCGGACATAGTAACCATATCAAGTATTATTTTTTATGTTGGAATCTTCTATTTATGTCGTTCACTTTTTGCTTTACCTTTTTAATGCATAAAAAAATTAATTAAAATTGTTTTTACCTAATGAAATCATAGTATATCATGTAAAAGTAAAGAATAAACACCAAAAAGTGATGTAGGCCTGGTAGTGTGCCAAGTGGAGAGGGAGCTGAGGGGTTGGTCGGGGTCCAGGGTGACCCTCACTGACAGCAACATGAGTTGGGAGGGTGAGCAGGTCTTGTTTGTTTTTTCCAGATATGGTCTTAAACTCCTGCCCCCCAGTGGCACAGCAGTATGTTTTCAGACTTACAATGCTATAAACTAGGTTTTAATATCCATGGTAGGTAGAGCACAGATTGTCCATTGTGTAGCTTTGTTCTTAATTACAAACAAACTCAAACTCCTCTCTTATCTTAACCACTGGCACAGCATTAGTCATGAATGATACAACTATATTGTATAAATATTAAACTTAGCATGCTAATCTAAATCACTAAAACTACTATATAAATGCCTAATATTTACACTATATACATTTTTCCCACTGTGTTGGTGTGACATCAATGGGGCACTGGTAAAACAAATATCAGCTGCAATTTCAAATGGTGGAGAGATAAACTAAAACATCGTATGATGCATGGAGCAGTGAAAGGGTTAATAAAGAAAAAATCATTGTAAGCTGATCTGACCCTAGAATTTTTGATGATGTTATGACTCCATCAGCTTGTTGAATATTTTCTAAACAATTTTTCGTTTTCCTTCCATCTCCCACCTGTACTCCCTGTTGGATCTGGTTGGCCTTCTATGTCCCGTACCTACTGTGGGTTGCTTCATCGCCTTCAAGGCTTCTTTCCGTTGGTTCCTTTTCCTGCTGTTTCATTCCCTGACACCACCTTTCTGTTTGTGACTTGTTCCTTCCTCACATACCATTTGGATTTGGCTTTAGATTCAGTTGGCCTTTTCTTCCTTATCTCCTTTTTACCCATAATCAATTCTTGGTGTCTTGACTCTGATTAGACACCTTCTCTTTTACCTGCATCTCATCCTTGTTGTACATTGGAGATACATCTTCCATCAAGCACTGGGACTACACCTCATATGTTTATCTCCAATTATCTGCTTCAGGAAGCTGTTTTTCCCCATCAGGATAACGTGTTCCACCTGTTACCATCCTTCACTATTTGGTGAGACTGTGACTGGGTAAGATACTTTTTTTGTATATATACCTCTTCTTTTTCAGAGGCATGTCCCTTTATTTCTTTATGGATCCCACTCTGTGGCGAGTGGTGTCTGTCCAGATATATACTTAAACTAGGCAAATCTGTACTGTAAAGCCATGATGACTTAGCAGTTATAATTTACATGGCCACTAAATGCACACTGTTGAGATGGGATGTTCCACAAGCTTGCTTGTAGGTTTTCCTCTTGATATATTTGCTTCATTCATATACCCATTCTGTACTGTAATCACCCATGAACTTCATGGGTAAAGCAGGAGGGGATAGCTGCTCATCCCTGCCATTCCATAGATTGAATAAATCGGGAGTGGTCTGCTTTTTAAAATAGAGTTTTCATGGTCTCCCGATGCTCTGTTTCTGGTTTTGATATTTCTCTGGATTTTCCAACCCATTTTCTCCCCCTTTTTCTTTCAGTGGAGCAAGGGAGTCCTTACCACTTTCCAGTTCCAAGCCGCTGGGTTGGTGGACAATGGAGGCATCGTCCTGAATGTAATAGTGATAAAATATACACATAATGATAAACCCAATCAGAGTAGAGCAGTGGTGTTCTGCTGGTGTAGATGACAAGATGTCTTCTAATTTGATGCTCCATCTCTGTATGGGTTTATTGGAAGGGATGTTGGAGCTTTGGAGTGAACAGTCAAAATTGCAGTTCACCCCTTTGATTGGGATCCATCATCCTACCCCCACATGGAAGTCAGTTCACAGTGGCTGGGTTTTGGATTCAGAGCCGAACCAATCAACATAAGTTCTCAAACATGTATTATAGATGTCTCTGTTTCCTCATACAAATCTACTCTTGTTCCCTCCACCTGTTGTGGATCACAGTGGTGGAACTTGCAGATTAATATGGTTCTTCCTCTTATGCTATCCTTCAATGATTTTCTTATTCTGAGGATGTTATTGCACTGGGGGTTGATTTTAATTGAAATAGTTTACATTACAGAAACATCTTACCTGTACCCATCATTCGGATGTTGGGTTCAGGAATGGTCTAACAATTTATCACATCGCCATCATGTGTCCTGTTCATGGATCTGGGAGTACAAGATTCCCTCCAGTCTGCTGAACTTGAAGTGAAAAAGGTATGATCCTCTTTCCTACCCTCACATGGATGTTTGTTCCCGGTAGCTTGGTTTTTTATTGTAGTTGACTTATCAACAATATGATTCTCATCCTACCCCTGCGTGGATGTTGGTTTCAGGCGACTGGGTTTTGAATGCAATTGACTTGCCATGTACAGTCTGTTGCACCCTAGCCACTCTACACCTAGAAGCACATCCTTTTACTGTCACCCAAATTGATGTACTCTATGGGATTGAGATTCCAACATACGTCAGAAGGGTGTGTTGCACTCCTATTGGTGGAGGATTGTCACATGATGATTTATATGTGAGATGCAGTTGAATCACGTTCATCTTAAGGTACATGGGAGCTCTAGGCTTGTTTCATGTAAAAAAAAAAGTGTATATAGAGGGCAGCACTGAATTAAAATAGCTATTTATGTTAGAGGATGTAAGTACTTATCAGAAATACATTTTCAGTATAGAAAAATTATAACACTGAGATTTTTCAGGCAAAGTAAAGTATTTTTATTCTTAACCAGAAAATCAATTTGCACTCAGAGCATTCAACACTTTGACTCTACATATTCATGGAGTAATGTTTAGTGAAAATACTTCATTAACTTTCTCAACACAGGCTCGGTCAATTTGACCACCCACATGACCTCTTTGTACTCATTTAAAGTCTTTATAAATTTAATACTTCTGACTTTCAATATACTGTGTATATATTCATAAAATTTGACGTTCACATACGAAAAATCATATTTATAAAATAAAGATTTGTCTATGAGTATATTGAGTATTTGTTTTGAATAGTCCGTATGCAAAGTAATTTTCATGTTAAAATGAAAAATACTTTTTCTCATCTCAAAAATCTCAAATTCCTTTTGTATAATCCCTAAAACCTTCTAAATACTTTTCAAACGTTTTTTTTTCAGTAAAACAATATAGTTTATCTGTTATTTTTTCTACCATATCTTAAAATGGGATCGGTCAATTCGACCGACCTCGTAACCACCAAAACAAAAATTGAAATAAACCTAAATTTCTCTTTTTAGAATGACTTCAAATTGTAACATGAAACTACATTCGTTTATCCTAAGTAGCTCTAAGTTTGTAACAGCATAAATCTATTTATAATCAAATTTTATTGTTTTATTGCCATTTGAACGTGTCTAACTACTATCTGTGCCATTATAAGTTGTAAATCACTCGGAGAACACGCAGCTCATGTTATGATAACAAATTACATTACCCACGAGCTTTTCATGTGTGTGCCTCATCAGATAATTTTATTATTATTTATTTTACCTAATCTAATATTAAGAAACCTAAAAGGATCTCTATTTTTACATTTTAGTTACTTTTATAATTATATGTAAAGAATAAACATGAAAAACAAGAAATAAAGTACTTAACCAATCTTCTTTTTTCGTGCTCTCAGTTTTCAAAGTGAGTTAACCTTAATTTTATTTTATGCTATAGATAGTAATGCACTTAATAATTTTTATTTAATTAAATAATGCACCAAAGAATATAGACTAATAACATGGAAAAAGTAGACAAATTCCCTTACCTCTCAAAATGTTTCTGGCTTTCTAACTGTGCGACAATAGCTGTTACAAATTCATCCAAGCTAGTCATTAACTTTCCCATGAGAACAATGTTGATACTCTGAGTGTCTGAGTGAAATTGACATCTAAATCTTCAGAACATAGCGTTATAAAACACGTCACTTGAAAGATGAAAACCTTGACTTTCCATTGGTTATAGGTAATATATAATGAAATGTAAGAGAAAACTATCAACGAATTATGAAAGAGAGGATGTGACAGGTGGGTGTGGCAGGAAGAGTCTGATTTTCTATTCAATAACTTTGTAGCCAAACAAAATGGAAGGGTATAAAGTTTATGGTTTCTCTGAACAATAACGATTTTATAGAGAGTAATTTATGTTTAATTTCTTACTTTATTGAGGGGTGGTGGATAAATTAGGGATGATGACATGCTAAGAGAAAATGTGTCACGTGGGTCACACTAATGGAAACTAAGGATTTTTTTTAAATATATCCTTGTAGAATTAAGTACTTAAAACTTGTATACTATTAAATTATATATTATAGTCTGATATTTTATGCTATTCTAATTGGTACAACATAAACAAAAAGTAATTTAATAAAATTTTGGATGTGAGACACTAAAACCTTGGGTCATGCGCAGTAAAGGATGCCTGTGGTGATAGGGTTAAAAGTTCTGCTTTTGTGTCTACAAATGAATTTTAATGCTTACTGAAAGCTTGCAAAATTTCATGAATATACATAAAACATATTAGAAGCTTTAATATAGAAACTCTAAAGGTCAATTTGGGGTTAATTTTTAGGTTGAATCGGTTTAGACCATAGAGAGTTAAACTGTGTGTTTTTATGTATGTGTGTGTGTGTGCATTTGAACACACACTAATTCACATACATACAGTTTAATATTCAAAATTTCTCTCTTATCCAACAACTGGTCCACTGCAGATGGTTGATTGTTGTTTGTCCAGTATACACCACAATCTGTAATTGAATTTCTTGAAAACTTTTTTTTTTTTCTGAAGAACTGAAGTGGATTGTTTTTTTAATTTTGTTTTCCTCATATTTGTTGTGTGTATTCTTCCTAGATAAGAGGCATGCCAGAATTTCCAGAGACTGTTTCTGGTGTTGGTGATGTTTTATCTCATTCATGTAAGTTACAATAACATTATACTTAGATTGACTTTAATATTACAGTCACAGATACATGTTTATGTTGAACATGTTGAGTTTTTATTGAGATGTATAACATGTAAGAATAATGTCTTGTTAATGATTCATAGGGTTGTGAAAGGTTGAAATAATAATAGCAGTAAAAGTATTAGGGTCCAGTAAAATATAAAGGTTAAGGTGATAGGTCCATTATTACCA